CCTTAATTTTAGCTTTGATTCTCAATTTTGCTATTAATTTATTTTTCCCCGCTTTCGGCACACATATAACACCAACACATATACTGTACCATACAATACAATATAGCTTTAGATTATAAACATTGCAATCAATTGTGTGGTAGAGAATTGACAATACATTACAACTAATGTTACTGTATTTTACTTTATTAGCCACTGTTTATAGACATTGTTTGTCAATTTCAATAAAATTTTCAATTAAGACTTTATATTATTATATATTTCAATGTAATTTGTATAAAAGCAAAATAACTCAATGAATAACTTTTATTTATTTTTGTTTTGTTTAATAAAATCTACACTTTTTTCTTTAAATTGATTTAACGATTCAATTCAAATAACCTATTATTTTGAAATTTTAATTTATTAGTATCTAAAATATCAAAAATTATTTTTAGATTATAGTATTAATATATTTATAATACATGGTATCATTAGTAATAGTATCTCATACATTAGTGTAACGATATTTAAAATTTTATTGTTTTAAATTTATGTAAACTACCTATTAATATATGGTATAATAAATAAATATTAATTTAAATTTAATGATAAATTTTCAATGATATCACACACATTGTGTGCCAAAAATACCAGTTATACTCTAAACCCGTAAATCTATGATATGTGTGACTCTGAAGAGGAAGGAAAACGGAAAAAGTCGGGAAATCCTTCGGTCTCTTTCTGGTTGTTCACTCATTTTCTCTGGTATTCCCTTATTATTATTATATGTCGAATACTACTATCAAAAATCATATATAATATACACAGATATATATATATATATATATATATATATATGATATATATCTATGTGTATAATACATGTATACATATTATAGATAAATAGGAAAGAGTTGAGTTGAACCACAATACGTCTGACATATCCTTATAACTACTACTACTGTATTGCTTATCAAAACTCTTACTATATTAAGAAAGACATACATAAGGGTAATGTCGGACATTGAATGACTTTTGCAAAGTATGCTATCTTTTAATCAATGGGTGAATAGAGAGAGTGAGACAAAAACAAGAGACAGAACTGAGAAGTGAAATGTCATAACAAGAGCCCAACATTTACTCTTCTCTGAGCAATAAGACTACACATCAATGAATACCAGTGCTCTTAACTGTGCACTAAATATATGAGTATATATATCAGTATAACAGTATGAATTGTAATCAAAATAAAGTATTAAATATAAAAATATATTTTATATATAGTGTTATGAGTTGAAAGAAAAGCCGATGCAATGGGACTAACAGTACTAACAGTGCTCTCCATAAGCAAAAGCCAATTGAATATTGCTTTTTATTTGCAGACAAAAAGTGATATACGTTTTGATAAAAGGGATGTTTGAATGAAATGAAAGGCCACAAAACGACTGGCGGCTAAACACTGTTTTCTTTCTATACTATCATTTCTCTAAGTTTATGCAATATATCTATTTATTTATATATGCTTTTTATATATATATATTTGACAACCCAATCAAAATATATCGAAAGTAATATTTTATCACAAAATAGATATATATATAAATATATGTTTCAATTGAAGTGTTGGTGTTATGTAAGCACAACGATTGGTTGCAATGATGATGAGCCCATATTTTCCATATGTTTCTAAAAGTAAACCAATTTATAATATTATGACATACATAGCCCACTGTGTATATTATATGAGCGTATGAAAGCAAAGCCTAGGGCTATGAGCACATACACCACAAACTGTGCAACCGTTCACTTCATATCACAGTTAATGTTCAGTCAGACTCTCGATTCTGCAATAAATCTTAACGATTATCAACACTATATAACAACACTCAATGTTCATTGAAAACTACATATTAAATCAATAATAATAGATAGACATTGTATATACTGTTATTGTTAATATATACCGTACTATTGAAATCAAAAGCTAAGAAATATATATATATATAATAAATTCAATTCAATAAATTTTCATTCAATGATTCATTTGAAACATTCATTTATAAACAATAAATATGCTGCGGGAGGTCTGGTATATAATCATAATAATAATAATTATTATTATTTTTGATATCCTATACTAATTTAATTAAATATATTCATACTTTCTTTCAATAAATTCCCATAAAAATAATAATAATCGTCATTATTATTTATTATACAATATATAAATACTAAATTAATTGTCAATTCAAAATGATCAGTACATTTTTAAAATGTAAATATATTAATAATAATAAAAATCTAAACCCAAAACTATTATCATCTCTATTATTATCCAATGTTTAAATCCCTTCTCTATTACAGATTAAATCACAAAAGCAAACAACAATTATACCAATAGTTTAAGTCTTACAGTCGACCTGTTCCTCTCATATGTGGATTATCGACAACTTATTACTATTGAATACAACTAACTGTCACTACAGTATTGAGACCATAGCAAACATTAGGGAAGGACTGTTGTATTTAAGCAGATTTGTACTCATATGTGATTACTCTATCTATTATAGCATTGTTTGATAACACACTTTTCAAATGTATTTTTCTGATAGACATTGATATACAAGAGATCTCAATGTATATGACGCCTGTAATGACACTTTACATCATATAAAACATGGATTTACCGACAGATAAGAAGCTGACATAAGAGTCGTGTTTTTCATATATATATATTCAATACTATATATTGTATTGATTTTTGTAGACAATTATAACAGTAATAGAAAAGTGATTCTTATTTTTAAATAAAAAGGAAAATTTTGTGATGATTTTTGTTGTAAATTTAGTGATGCGTTAACTAAACACAACAAAAAAAGGATCGATTATTGAAACTTTAAATGTCAAGCAAACTAAATGAAAGATCAATTCCTATGTTAACAAGTGATACACCAAAATGACAACATTCCTCACTAACAAACACTTTGAAAAAAAGAAACTGACATTTGAAAAGAGGGCCTAACTTTCCTATTTTGCAGTGATAGTGACATTTATATAAAAAAATAGTATAGGTTTGCATCAAATGTACCGAAAATGCCGTCTATTAGGCGCGTGACCAACAAAATCATTAATGCGAGAAAAACATTATTTTCTTTGAAAAAAATACACACAATTTTTAGACTTTTTTGTGTTAGTCAGTGGTATTGTTAGGTTCACTCTATATACTGTATAATATATTATATGACCCCAAACTCTATACTCCTAGCGCTCAACAGTACAGTACAGTTCACTGTCAGACACTCTTTCAATATTTTTATCGATCGCTCCGATGGAGAGTCAAATGAAATTGTATTGAATTTTGTATATCCATGTCCTCCTATACAATAGATATATGTTATGAAATTAATGGCACCATCTATCAGGTCCACAATCATACCATTTAACGACTAACAATCAATATTTGTAAATTACAAATCAATTTAATTAAGTTTGTAATTATATAAATTTTTGATATTCTTTTTTTTAAAAAAATAATTTAAAATAAAGTGTTTAACATTTTAAATACTTTTGATAATTAATCTATAAATTAAATTCTGTGTATTAACATTATTAAATAACTTTAATAGACAATAAAAAAAAGTATCAAGATACATTGTCTAAAAATATTTTACGTTGCTTAAATAATGTTAAATTTTTAAAAATTAAAATCACTTGTACAGATTAATTGACAAAATTTATAGCTTATAATTTAAAGTTATATTTTTACTAGTTTTTTACTTTAATAGATCATTGATGATAATATTACTTTGTTAATAAAAAATTCAAAGACCAATAAATTTTATCAATTGCTCTTTATATGTGATTAAAATTAACTTTTATATATTTTGTTACATTAGATTATAATAATGATCTTTTTAAAAATTAATACGTTAAAAATAAGCATACATTTTATGAATAATGATTTGAGATTTTTTTAGAGTTTTTAGATTTATAATAATTTTTATTAGAAATTTAAAATATTATAGACACTTCAAATGCTATTTAATATCACTTGCTATTAAAAATAAAAATTCATTTAACCTATTATTAATATAGTAACTATTAAAATTGGTTTTATTAATAATTATTTTAATAGACGTATGTCTATATGTTTATTGAACGTTTGAAATAAACATATATTTTTATGTAGTATGTGATTAATTTTACATTACAAATATATTAACAATTTTTGTTGTTGAATGAACTAACTCAGTGTTTGTTATTATAGATGATTATTCATTTGTTAAATAAACTCAAATAATTTTTATATACTATAGTAAACTTTAGGGTCAACATAGGGTAATGTCTTAATTGAGACCATATTGTAAGCCACGCGTTAGCACATAGTCGACAGTGAGAGTCAATTGAAGCCAATATCACATAACCTTTTTTCTTCCCATGAATTTCTAAATTCATATCAATTGAGCTGTAAATCATTGATTCAATATATGAAACGCTGACAAAATGCACAAAATGTTTTCATTTAATAACAACTCAAATCAAATCTAATGGTGAGTGAGAATCTTTGATTGAGTGCAATAAAAATTGAGTAACAGTTATATATATATATTTATTTGTATAATAGACTGGTATTCAATATAAATATAATATTATGTTATTTTTTAATGTTAGTAACACTAACTATATATTCATAGAAATTCAATGCATTCCACACTCACTTCACATATAAAAAAGTTTTGACGCGTGAGAACCAAATGCATGAATAGATTGCTAAAGAAAACATTTACCAAAACATCAACCATTATGTTATCCCTCTCTCTCTCTCACTCACTCTCTCTCTCTCTCTCTCTCTCTCTCTCTCTCTCTCTCTCTCCCCATCACTAACTACTATCCGACTCTCCCACTCACTTATTCAGTCACTCGCATACTGTATCTAACAGTACGGTAAGTATCCATAGAAAAATACATTACTCTATTCAATATAAACATTAACACAATGTATATATTAAATGACTTACCATTTTTTGTAAGTCTAAAGTTGTGACCAGAGTTGGCACTGCTGTGGATCAGGTTCTGAGAATAACTACTCTTGTTTTGATCTGAAATATATCACATTTTTTTTGTTATCTAAATAGTTGTTCATTTGATTGACATAAAATTAATGTCAACTTTTCAATAGATATCTCACATGAAGAAGTTAGTGTTGTTAATGTGTCGATCGATTGATTTGTTTGCTTCTCTTGTTTGCAAAGATTAATGGATGCTATTTGTAAGTAATCATAAAATGATTGGTTAGTCTAAATGGTTTGTCTAAAATCAATGTTAACTAAATGGCAGACATTGTCTGAGGAGTTGGAACTGTGCGTAAAGGAGTTCTCCATTGTTAGAGTTCGTCAACTTCTTGAAGTCATCGCGAGTCATACGACACAAGTCTTTGCCGACAAAGTGATTGAATCTATTGATATCGATGTCATGCAATACATAGTCTTTAACTGTCCATTCGAGCCATTGTCTCACTTGTTCCCAATTCCAATAAATTGGATCCAATTCTTAAAGACAAAAGATAAACAATTAGTCAAATCAATTGATTTTTATTGTTTGCAAAAACGATTGGCTTTTCTATTATCATAAGTAGGAGTTGCGCTAAAATGTTAATATCTTTCAAATAAAATATTGTCGATTCAAACAACAAAAACTATTCATTTTTCTATCAATGATATCGATCGACGCATGGCTTACAGTATATATAGATTGAGATAACAGTATTAATACAATACCAAAACATAAGGCATACTATTAAATCAAAAACTAGTTTTTTATTGTTTTATAAATAGATTAAACTAAACCTATAATTAAAAATTTTATCAACAATTACTAAAAAAATGTTTATTATTAGTGTGTTATTATTTATTATACTAATTATTATTATTTTTTAATTAAATGAGCTTACATTACAAATACAATAATTATCGATTTGAGCATATTTTTAAAAATAAATATAACAAACAATAATTGATTAGCTACTAAAATAAACTAATTAAACCAATAATTTGGTTAAACATTTATAAACTCGATAAAAATCATGGGTAAGGAAACGTATTGACTTTCCGAGAAGGAAAACAATTGGTAATACCCGACACATCACTTCCCGACAATTGACATCCGTTTGTTGCTAAATCTCATTTGACGATCTCATCACTACATATAAACAACTAAACAAAAATCTACAAACATTTGCAATAATTTTTTTCTCCTTCTAATTTGGATAATATTTATTTCATAATCAGTAAATTAATTGATGCAAATTGCTAGATGTATAATAATAATTAAAATAAAATATGTCAATTAGGCTAAATTAGCAAAACTATGAATTATTAAAAAAAAACATTGATTTGTTATAATCTAATATTAATGAATAAATATCACCAAAAAAATAAACATACGTTTATCATCTGAATTATTGACTGAAGACTCTTGCAATGGATTTGAGCGTATGTTAAGTCCATCCTCTCGTAAGGAATTCAGTTTTGATGGACAATGATTTCCAACTGTCATATTAATCGTATATTTAAAAATATAACAATATTAAGTATTAGTAACTAAATTTGATAAATTATATTTTTTTTTAAACTAAACATTAAAAAAAAATAAATAACATCCTTATAAAATATCATCTTTTTGTGTATGTGTTTGTCAAGAAAAAATTGTTTAGTTATGAGAAAGTAATCAAAATATATTAGCTATTTAGACAAACTTATTCAAATATATTACATTTGTTGAAGATATTAATTATAAATATTATACATAATTTATAAAACTATTAAAAATATGTTATATTACAATACTGTATATTGTATTGCTGTACTTAGGTTTATATAACATAATTCAATACATTTGTAAGCAAATTAGAGGAAATAATAAAAAATAAAATAATACACAATAAAAATATCAATTAGATTGTTATTTACAGATTAGTATTTAACAGATAATAATAACAGTTAAGATATACTTACAATTATCCACAATATAATGTTGACTATTCGGGGGTGAATTTGCTGAGAAAGCACTTCCAGAGCAAAGAAATTGATCTCTCAGTGCAATCAAATGGTTTGTTTCGTTTTCCTGATTCTTAGACTCGATATCAGTCTCCAAACATTTGTCTTCATTATAGACATAACGTCGAGTGTCGGCGGAGGCAGAGATGTTGCACTTATAGATACAAGCATTGGGCCAATTGTTAGCCACGGAAGGTAACTGTTGTCCATTATTGGCAACTGTTCCGTTACAATCACCATTACTGTTATCTTCATTACTACTAATACTGTTTTCTTCGACCTTAACTTGGATTGAGATTCTTGGAGACGGCCTATTGGTCTGACTGTGCGTTGAGATGGAGGCCGTGGCTGAGGCCAGTATACTATTACTTTGATTGCAAACACTGGACTTATGGATAATCAGATCACTCTCAAAATCATTCAAATTATTATTTAAAACATTTCCAACATTTGTCAAAGTATTTGTATTATTGTTGTTATTATTTCCAGAATTATTACTATTATTAACATTGTTTGAAAACATCTTCATTTGACTAATAAAAATCTTTTATTCAAACACTAAGTAATTAAGAAAAATATATGTTTTTAGTTATCAAATGAAAATAAATAAAATTATTAATAACAATAATAAAATAATATTTTTAATGCTTATTAAATGAAATGAGTAGTAAATTTACAATAAAAGCGGATGCATATAATGTTACAAAATGCATACAATTTTGTTTAAATCATTTATACAGTATTGGCTAACTGTGCAAACGCGTCGACACATATAGTACTGTATTTAATGTGTAAATGTCATATATATTATATGATATATTAAATACATATGAGAGTAATATGCATGCAAACAACAATTTTTAATTACATTATGTTTTGACATTATGTATTTTGATAGCAAAATTGTTGATAACAAAAAAATTGACTACTAATTGGTGATGTACTCTAACTGTCTAATATTGATATACATTTATATTAATAGCCGCTATCAATGTTTTGACTACACGTCAAATTGGTCTGACTTTTAGCAGTCACTCAAACGTAACGTAAAATCATAAATGTATTAAATTTTTCCCATGAGTTACATCAGTTACTCCCGTATCCCAAACTGAGAGCCCATGAATATTAAGCACTGGTTGCCAACAATTATAGTGTAAAGCAATAATATGTTTTAGTGCATCTCTACTATTTTGGGGGCACCGCATGCAATGCTAACTGAGTTATGATATCTATTATATAATACACTATACAGGCTTTGCTTTTAATTTTCAATTATGATTTTTTTCACTACTCTTTTTTCATTTCATAATTTTTTTTATAGTTATTATATAGCATTGACTTCATCAATGATGTGATCATTTATATTACAAATTTTATAACTTGTATATTGCATCCCAAATATCTAAGTCACGATATATTGTATATTCAATAAGGTCTGTCATATTATGAGCTTTTGAGCTCAATTGTTATGTATAGTATAATATAGTTGAAGTATCATATCAAATGAGTTATACATAGCATATCATAATGTGTTGCCGGTACCGGACCAACAACCAACAGTGCTCTATCAGTCATGTAGTTTATGGTTATATTATTATTATTATTGTATGCATTGATGTACAATAAAATGAATTGAAAATAAGCAAAAACTATAGATGTGTTGTACTGTCAGTGATGTCAATGAGGAGTGTGCCGAAGCACTGGTAGTCATTGTGTTCGGGAAATTGAGTCACCGATCCACATGCAAGCGCTTCTCTATATACTAGTGCCAGCTTTTTGGGGGTAGTTTTTGGCTTTTTTCTATGCCATAAATACTATAAAAATGCACGCATTCATGTATGGCTTGGTATGAGTGACTATGAGTGAGAGTCCGGTGCTCGGTATTAATGTTCAGTAAACCATAAGACGGCACGTGTCGATACACACATTGCTGAGCGCATCTCCAACCAGTTATTCCTTCAAATGTCTGTTCCCAGGGATCGGCCAATTGAACCGTTTGAATGCTTTTCATAATTAGGCGAAAGTCAATGAATACAGTGAGTACTACTGTGTTAACGATTGTCATCGTTAGCCACTATTTAGTGAACTTTATTATTACTTATAACTTTCGTTTAACAACTCTATGCATTTGCCAGCCTTTGATTGTCCATCAATTCAATCATTAGTTTATTTGATTTTGTTATTCATTTCAATTATTAGGACAATTCAATAACCATTCAATCAAAATACTCATTTAATTCATAAACTTGACTTTGTTTGCTATACTCTTAACCCTTTATTTACTAATAGAGTATTTTTAATATACATTCAATTGATTTATTCAAATTATAATAATAGACAAAAATTGTTTATAATTTTAGTCTACAATATAAACACTATTTGTACTATTTTTTAAATATTAATTCAATGTCTAATTCAATACCATTAGAATTTCGAACAATAATTACTATAAATATTTTATTAGTCAATATATATAATCTTAATTAATTAATTAAATACATAATAATAATACATGAATACATAATGTAATAATTTGAAATTAAATAATTATCTCATCATTAGTTTACTGTTAATAGTATTTTATTTAAATGCAAAATAAAATAAATTATTTCGTTTATATCCTAAATTAGAAACATTGACTATTTAAATGCAACTAAAATGCATCTTTACTGTAATACATAACTGTATTGTAGCCAAACATTAATTATTTTACAACTAATATATAAAATATATAAATAGAGTATTTTCTAAAAACTAATTTTAATAATTTGTATATTTTATTAATAAGTTAATAAATTTTATTTTATATTATAAAAATAAAAATAAAAATAAAATAAAAATCCAATTTTATAAGTATAATAAAAAAACATTACTAACATTTTTATTCTAAGTTACTGAATAAATGTTTTATTAGAGCAAAATTATAATGCGATTATATTATATCGATAAATAATATCGTGATAATCAACAGTAAATTAAAAGTTGTAATATTATTGAGATTATATTAAATAATTGACTTAAATATATCCGTTTCATAACTTAAAATATAGGAAATTCACACTTGATTTTTATTGAATACACAGTTATAGAAATACAGTATACAATATAATATTATTGCACACTATAAATGTATATAATATTTATGTATAATAAGTGAATTGCAATATAATAATAATAATAATAATAATAAAATAATATTCAGTAACAACTGGGAAACAGAGTCTTCCTTCCCAATGCCTTGTAGGCCGTCTTCCTTCTTCCTAACGGATCATCCATAGGAAGACATGGAAAGGCCGGGTAAGGGTCAGGAAGGAACTCTATACCAATAGTAAATAGCATAGGTATGTGATTATCGGCCAACAAATTACCGATGTTTGCCTAAACAACTATATAAGCATAACAATTGCCAAAACATGTGTTGCACACAACTAAACGACATTTTATTATCGCTTAATTTACTTTTGGTATTTCATTCACTCACTCTTTATTGTCAACATTTTCTTTACTTTTAAAAACTATTAAATATATTAGATTCAAAGCTAATATTTTTTAGAAATTACTACTAAAAAACATTTAATTTCACATATTTAATAAAAAATAATAATCAAAAAATGTCAACAAAACTTACCAAACTGTCAGATCTCATGCAATGATATCACATTTCACATAAAAAATATGAATACATTGAAAGTGTCATTCATTATGTTTTGTGTGCATAAAAAACTAGTAAAGAATTTGATGTCCGTTTCGTATTTCACTTTTACTTATCTCTCTTATGAAAAACTTTTTATATTGGTTTATATATATATAATATATATATATTTATATAATAAATAAATATATTGATTGTTATAGTAGTGTTGGTGCCGTTGCCAGAATCACACCGTAATCATCATCAAAGAGTTTCCACTATAATATCATCCATTGCTAGCAACTGGCGAATCACCCAACAGACTGCCCTTAAGGTTGCCATTCAATCAATTATAAGACCCGCCCCAACATCTCTCTCTCTCTCTCTCTCTCTCTCTCTCTCTCTATTCTCTAGTTTTGTCGATACTCTGCTTTTCATCTTAAAAGCTGTTATTATATGAGTCGTCAATAAAAGAAAATAAAAGCAAATAAATTGATAAAATCTAAAGCGTTTAACAAAACAAAATGCTTTTATAATTTTCAATAGTTAAATGACATCAAAAATTAAGTAAATCTACTGAAATTAGCTTTGGTTTTATAGTTTCAATACTGACTTAAATATTAAATAAAATAAAAATATTTTTTAGTGTGTTTTTATGGATTTATACTCCTATTCTCTATCATATCTACTCTTAAATAAATGGCATTTTAAAAGAGAGTACATAAGTGATGCAGACAGTGGCCAAAAAATATATTAAATCAATTGTGTTATGAATTTAGCTTATATTTTATTATTCATAGATTGTATGCTGAAGTTTATATTTCCTGAGAGTCGGAAAGTTTTGAATTCAATTCATGCATAACTAAATATTTATATATTTTAGTGCATAATATCATAATATATTTTAGTTAAATTTAAATTGATATTTGCGCTAAAAGTGGATAATAATTTTTTTTTAAAGAAATAGCTTGTTTACAAATAAAAATATTATTATAAATTATTAAGAAATATTTTTAAATTATATGACTTAGTAAATTAACTTTTAAATTATAAAATTACTATATTTTAATACAAATTTGATTTTTAGTCATAGAGTATGTTATTTATCAGATAACAAATAACTCCGTATAAAAGCAAACAAATATAAATAATATTACATTAACTACAGTACTCTATAGTAAGTATACTGTGTTTGTACGTACAATGGTTAGTCAAAATGTCAGTAAAATATAAATTTTAGGAAAATTTCTGTGCAACTTTTTTTTATAATGTAAACATGTTACAAAAAATAATTAAAAAGCTAGTTAGCTTTAAAAATTAGCAAAAAATATATAACCTAATTTATGTATAAATGATTATTGTATTAAATATATTACATTACAGTATATAATAACTTAAGTATTTGTATTACAAAATAAACATCATAAATCAGATATTATGAATTGTTATAATTGTATTAATAAATATTTTGTAAAATAAATATAATTAAATTTTATTAAATGCATAATTTAATAAAGTGTCTTAAATTTTTATCTAATGTTAAACGTTTTAGATTTATTGCAATATTTTCACAGAAACTTTTTCTGGAAAATTTACAATTGTTTACAAATAATAGACGACTTTTAGCTGACACTGGTTAGGATCGACCCAAGAAATCGGTTCACAAATGGATAAACTAATGAACAAAAAGAAAACGGATTTATGCACTGAAAGGACCAAATAATAGACGAAAAACGATCTCTTTTTTCAAGAATTGATTCATCCATTCAATGGCTGACATTAGTCTACTCTATATCTTATATATAATAAATAATATCGTATTATATTAAGAGTATTGCACTATA